ATGCGTTCGGTGGATCCCTTTCTGCCTGCCTCCCATCCTTGGACCACACACTGTGGCTCTGTTTGTGTGGGATTCTGTCCACGCCATGGCCCTTCTTCTTCCCTTCACGCTCCTTTCCCGTATTTTCCCAGAAAAGGGGAGGAAATCATTTTAAAAATACAGGAGGAAAATAAACAACAACCTTTCTCTGTGAGTTTATTTTGTGATGTTATAAATCTTTGGACCCTTGAAATTAATTAAAAAAAAACTATAAAAGAGTCACCACTGAAGTATAGGAAAGGGAGGGAAGAGTCACGCCTAACAGGAAGGCTTTCCCCAAATTTGTCACAAACTCATTAATTCAAGATTGGAAGCTTGGAAAACCCGAGGAGAGCCTTGGCATCATGGAAAGGTGTAAAGCGAGGTTGCAGACCCGTGGCCCCCTGGCCAGATTCCACTGACATGTTTTGTTTGGCTCCCGTAGTTCTTGAAAAATAGTCAAATGAGTTTCAAACATGGGAGTTTTCATAATAAAACCCCTGATGTCCAGCTTTTTTTTTGAGGAATGGGGAGCACTGGTGCCAGGGCTGTGGCTGGTTGGTGGCTGACCACGTGAAGGGGCATGGCTTCTGGTCACAGCCCCGGCCAGCAAAGCACCCCTGGTCTAGAAAGTTCTGGACTCACACTTGGGTGCTCCAGCCATCACCAGCTGGATGACTTGGAGGCTGGTACTTACTGGACTTTTCCTCCTCACCTGCCGCTGGCAGCCTTGTGTGTGTGACAGCACATCGTAAACACGAAGATTCCCAGCAATACAGGGACCCTTGGGCCAGGGAAGAGGCGCTTGGTGACAGTCCGTGCACCTGTAAGGATGTTCCCTACTGCCTTCTAAGAGAGTGCCAGCCACTTCTTTAAAGTTTTTTCAAAAGATGGATTTTAAAAATGTGTTTTCTAAAATTATGATTCTTTTACAAGGTCTGCACAGTCCACGTGGTGCTTTATAGGGTGTATCCGGCTACAGCTGGCCCACTTCTGGGTGTTTTATGGCAAATTATTCTCAGATTACCCTTTAATGCAGGAAGGCCTGCCAGTTGTCTGAGCTCCCTGGGTCATATAGAAAACCCCTAGACTTGATACGAAACAGCTGCCTCGGTCAGCTGTTCCAAAAAAGGAGCATTTTCAGGCCGAAGCAGCAGGAAAAAGGTTTTTTGTAGTTGGTGGAGATTTTGAAGGAAAAAAAAAAAAAAGTTAAATTACTCTTTCCTGGCCATTAAAAGATGATTGAATTTTGTTATTAACAAATTGTGGGAATCTCAAAAGAAGTACTCCGAATGGGAGCTGGTTAAGTGCTGTCTGGCAGTACTTACAGTATGTCCCGGGGGGTGTTCTCGGTGGAGGGTGGCTGCACAAAACTCCGCTGACCTCTGTGTCCCTGGGCCTCAGCCGGGGCTGGGCCGGGGTCAGGGGGCCAACCCCCCGGGCCTCCCTCCTCTCTCTCCCCAGGGCCCCTGCTGAGACCAGCAACAAAAGGGTCAATTGTCTGAGGCCCCCCTTTGTCTCAGAGGCTCTAAGGGCCTCTCCAAATGCCAAAGTGTCTCTCTGCACATGGGTGAATGCATATACACATGGCTGTAGGAATGTGTATCCGTATGTATATGTGCACATGTGCTGGTGCATGCGAGTATTGTATAAGTATGTGCGTGCACGTGTGCACCCAGGAACACATGCTTATTTATATGTGCACGTGCATGCACGAATAGGAATGCACACATACCTGTGCATGCATACATGTGTGTGGATGCGCCTCTGTGTGTGTGCACGCACACACGAGTGTGCACGTGTGTGCCTCTGTGCACACACATACGAGTGAGTCGGGTGTGAATGTGTGCACATGTGCCTGTGTGTGCACACACAGGCAGTGGTGAGACTTGCTCGAAGAATTTCTGAGACGCTGATGCCTCTTCGCAGGGTGAGGGCTCACAGAGGCCTGGCTGGCTGTTGCATGTCCCTAGGGCCGAGGGAGAAAAGCATCTCTGGCCCATCTCTCAACAGATGGCCCAGTTACCTTGATGTGGCATTTGCTATGGGGTAGAAACCTCAGAGAAGTCTCTGCCTCCCCTGCCTTCTCTAGGGTCAGATAATATGTAGGATGCAGGAGGAGGAACGATAAGGAGGCTCCCCACACAGCTCACTGGCCTCGTTTGCCTGTTCCAATGTGGGGTTTCATGGCGAGACCCACAATAACTTTCTACGCTGTTCCATTACCTTCTCGGGGCTGCCTAATCAGATCCAGTGCATTCTATGTGGCATTTAAGCCAGATTTCCAGAAGGACTGTACAGTGACGTGTCCCCACGTAGCTCTGGGGTCTTTGTACAGATGCCAATCATCCTGTTCCCTAGCACATCTCTGGAGACCTGCGGGATTCTGTGGCTGGTCTGTACCATCCCAAGGTTCACACTCTCTTCTTTAACAAAGGTGGCCTTTTAAAAATGACTGTAAAACATATTTGATTCAGAAGCCAAGAAAAGACTAATAAAAATGCTTAATTCAAATTTGCTTCTGTGAAGGATTTATCTCCCAGCCCCTTTTAACCAGCACAGCTGCCATGTAACAACTTTTTCTGCTTTATTTTTTCTTATTCTTGTCCTTCCCCAGACCCATTTCCTCTCCCTACTCCAGCAAGGGCTTATCTTTCAACTGTGGAAAGGCACCAGTTAAACAGTGCTCCAAAGCTTATCAAAATATTCAGGCAGTAAACTTATCTTATAATTAGCCTAACTGTAAGCCAGAACTTTTTAACCCCAGGAAATGTGAAGTTACCTAGCCTGTGAAATTGGTAAATTGCTCATTCTGACCTTTTTAGGCTGCAGTTTCTACTTTTATTTCATTCCCCCAATCATTTCCTCCTTTTTCTTTAAATTCTTGATGGTCCCTGAGGCATCTTCCTCTTCTGTTTGCTGAAGGCTCAGAGAAAATGTACTCCTGGCTGAGCTGAAATAGATAATTGAATACATTCAGGCGAGGGGGATACGAAATCAACCTGTTACCTACTTCATGCCTTCACTTTTAGGTATGCTTTCGGTAAAATGAAGCCTCATCTCGCCATCGCTGATTCCATACTTCAGGTGCATGTAGTGGTGACACCCAGCGGAATGATTCTGGAGCTATTCTCACACTAGCTGGGGGATTCTGCAGTATCCTGAGCTGGTTAGAAGAATTGGGCTTCCTTATCACAAAGACTTCTCCTAACTCTTCCTCCCCTTGGCCTTTGCTTACCCCATCGACCCTCCCACTACCCCAGGGACCCTCCTGTCATCTAGCAGCACCCAGGAGGGTGCCACAAAAGTCACCTCCCCACCCCCACTTCTATGGGAGCTGACATCAAGGGAATGGGCAGTGACGTGTTTGGGGGTGTTAAGGTGCTGCTTAGGTGGACTTTTGGCCCAGAAATGATATTATAGATGATGCTTCGGTTTTTAACTGCAGTTGAGATTCTTAAACTAGTCATGCCACAATTCAGCCACAAGTGGGTTAGTGAGACTTACATAGGCATGATTAGGGCTGACCACTGTGTTTTACATGATGAAATACTGGCAACGTTGCAAAAATTAAACTTAAAAACAATTAAAAATTAAATTTTGGAGTGTGACGTTTTCATCGAGGGGTGTCGCCTATAAATAGTGGTAGTGATTATTTATAGAGTTTTTTTCCTATCCATCAGGCAGTATGTACACACGTGGGCATACACACAGATACAAACACATAGAAAAATTGTTTCATCCTTATGTTAATCTGGTGAGAACATAATTACTTTGCCCATTTTACAGTTGTGAACACTGAGGCTCTGAGAGGTTAAATCACTTGCTGACACCCACATGGTTAGCAGTTGAACGTGGCTCTCATGTAGTCCACCACTGGCCTTGCGTTAACCAGCCAAGGCCCAGGCCAAATGGTCCGACCCCTAGTTGTGCTTGAGAGGTTTCCCTGACACCCCTACAGGGTAAGGAGGAAATTGCAGTGTCACCTCGGGCTCTGCTTGTGGCCGGGCCCGGCAGTCCTGTACACTTTCTCTTGATGTCACGTGTATATCACAGGTGCGATTTCCTTGCAGTCCTCGGAGCTGCCTTGCTGGCCTTGAGCTGACAGGATCAGGGTGAAGTCTGTGCTGATCCCCTCAGGGAGGCTCTGGCCCAAGTGGTCAGTCCCCCTGGGGTGGAGGTAGTGAGAGGGTCGCTCCCAGGACCTGGGCGTGGCCATGCTCTCCTAATGCAAACCTCAGAATCAGATCCGCTCTGCAGTCCCATCTTTTCACGGCTTTGTCTCAGAGCTGAAAGAGCCCTGTTTTGCTCATGGAAACTGAGTAGAATGGTGGTTGCCAGGGGCTGCAGGGTGGGGGTAAGTGGGGAGATGTTGGTCAAAGAGTAAAAACTTCCAGGGCTAAGAAGAGTAAGTTCTGAGGGTCTAATGTACAGCATGGCGACTGTAGTTAACAACGCTGTATTGCATAGTTGAAAGTGGCTAAGAGAGCAGATCTTAAGTGTTCTCACCAAAAAAAGAAATAAAAGGTAACTCTGTGAGGCGATGAATGTGTTAATTAATGTGCTAATGTGTGTTAACCATTTTGCAATGTATATGTCATCACTTTAAATAGATACCCTTTTATTTGTCAGTTACACCTTAATAAAAAATAAACATTAAAGCATTTTTAAAAAGGCAAAAAAGAGCCCTGTTTTGGAAGTCTTTCCTGATGAGAGGCACCTTCTGTCTAATCCACGATGGAATATGGTACCCTGTTTAAGACCCTTTCAAAATACCATTATCCTTTAAGAGTTAAGTTGAAACTAAAGATCAATCATTAAAACATGTTATTTTTTTTAAAAAAAGTGTTATTTAGGAAGCATTAGCAGGAAGGTGTTTTAAGAAATGTTTTAAAAAATTGGCACGTGTTAAATCAGTTTTCTTGTGAATGCAGCGTATGCTTGATACTATTTAATATGTATTCCTCTCTTTTTAATTGCAGCTTGGGTTGACGATAGCCATTCGCTATAGCCACAGGTAAAGTTACATTTTTTCTTTTAAGGAGTATCCTTACTGATTTATAGATTTTGGTTTGCTCGAGTCTACAAGTTTTTGAGCTTAATTTTGGTGGCTGCTCTATCTGTGATGTCAGTGTGATAGCAATTAGATGAAATGGTTCTAGTTGCTTGATTGGTGAGAGTTAATCACTCTTTGGAGGAATAAGATTTTTACGTAAAAGTTGTGGTAGATAGCCCATTTCTTTTTTTTTTTAATTTATCTATTTAATTTATTTATTTTTGGCTGCGTTGGGTCTTCACTGCTGCACGCGGGCTTTCTCTAGTTGCGGCGAGCGGGGGCTACGCTTGTTTGCGGTGCATGGGCTGCTCATCGCGGTGGCTTCTCTTGTTGTGGAGCACGGGCTCTAGGTGCATGGACTTCAGTAGTTGTGGCACACAGGCTCAGTAGTTGTGGCGCACGGGCTTAGTTGCCCTGCGGCATGTGGGATCTTCCCAGACCAGGGCTCGAACCCGTGTCCCCTGCATTGGCAGGTGGATTCTTAACCACTGCGCCTACAGGGAAGCCCCGCCCATTTCTTTTAAAGTCAAAAATGTAATGCTCTAGGGCAGGGACCCGACGTGATTTCTGGGAGTGGACTCTGTCCAAGGGTGAGAAGTGGAAACAGGGATGTCGTGCATGAGAAACGAGGCCAGAAAGCCACACGAGGGCTTGCCTTAGCGGCTTTATTCAGAAAGCCAGCAGACTGTGAAGATGGACTAGTGTCCCAAAGATCCATTCAGGCTTCTTTTATACTAAAAGGGGAGGGGGTGTGGCTGGTTGTTGCAGCCTTCTTGATGCTGGAATCTTTGTTCTTGCAGCTGTCCTGTTGGTCAGGGCACAATGTTCCTATAAGCCTCCAACAAGACAAATGTTATTCTCTGTTCTGCAACTTTTTATCTCTATGTGAATGGGAAAGTGTTATACCTTTAAAGGTCAGGGCCTTGAGAATGGGCTACCCTGTATATTCCAGGCTATAGGCAACATTCTTTTAGTGATTAACTTGTAGCAAGAGCAATAGAATACAAAAAGTTTAAAGTAAAAGAAACAGATTCAGTTGGGGTCAGATTTGTTCTTCCCTGTCACATCCCCATGGAGGTGGTGGGTGCTCCATGGAAGAAAGCACTTGGCTTGGGTTGTAAACAACATTCCCCTTTGTTCCTCTTTCCCCAGAGCAGCCGCCTCACTGAGGAAATGTGGCTGGTAGACAGAGGTTTACGAGGCTGAGTAGCAAGGTAGGCACCCTGAGCCATGGCCCTACGGGAGCTAAGGACAGGAGCTCTGTTGTGATGAAGGGAAAGAAGGATGTTCGGGCGGTAAATGAACGTCGATTTTAGAGAGGGCAGAGCTTTGGAGCTGCTCATCCTGTGGCCACATTTATGGATTCTGCCCCAGTTCCCACCTGCCTACTGTCACTGGACGACCATTTATCGTGCTCGTGCAGTGTGTGGGTCAGGGGTCTGGAAAGGGCAGTGAAGATGGCTTGTCTCTGCTTCACGGGGTCTGGAGCCTGTGCTGGGCTGGGGAGCGAGTCGTCTGAAGGCTCACTTGCTCTTGTGTCCGGCGGGTGAGGCTGGCTTGTGGCTGGGGGTGCAGAGTCTCTGTTCCTCTCCACATGGGCTGTTTTGAGCTTCCTCACAGCATGGTGGTTGGCTTTCTCTGAGTGAGTGTCCTGGAAAGAGAGAACCACATGGAAGCTGTCTCCGTTCTGTGGCCCAGCCTCACAGAGCATCACTTCCACCTTGTTCTATTGGTTGGCACAGTCGCAAGCCCCCACTTGTGTTCAGAGGGAGGGACAGCCGCCCCCCGCCCCCCGCCCCTCAGCCGAAGGAGTGTTGGTCACATTGTAACAAGAACATGAGAGGTGGCAGAGCTTTGTTTGGCCATATTTGGAAATGCACTCTGTCATAGAGCCCAGCTGAATGTTGGAGTATTTATTTAGAGCACTTGTGAAAAGAAATTTAAGACTGTCCTTGCTGCAAGGCACTCACTAGTTGGGGGTGCACAAGGGGTATGTATGAAGAAGACAGGACAGATGCAGTTCTCATAGGAGGGGGTCAACCAATCAAAGGAGGCTTCTTAGAGGCAGCGGCCCTTAAACCATCCTCATTCCACTGAAGTGCGAGAGTGGGACGCAGGTCCAGTTGGCTCAGGGGGATGTCTGGGCAGGCTGAGAATACAGGTCCCTGAGAACACATAGCCTTTCAATGACTATTTGACATGTATTTGGACGAGAGGCAGCGTATGGGGAGGCTGTGGAGGGGTGGGGGGGATCCTGGCTGCCCCAGCCTTCCTTCTGTAGCCCTAGGAGTTCAGTCGCAACCCTAAACTTAGAATCTACTCCTCAAAACAAAGGCCCTGCCCAGGCTGGATGGCAGGCAAGCAGAAAGGCTAGCAGTTGTCTGTCTACGCGAGCATCTGCCTTCTGGGCCCAGGCTCCATCCAAGGAGCCTAACCCCGCACTCCTGGCCAGGCCACTGCTGTGCTCTCACGGGGACGTCCTGGCAAAGGGAGCTGCCCCTGGGCTGTGTTTCCAGGGAAGTTTGCCTCCAGGCTGTCCTGTCTCCTGTCTTAGCTCTGGGCTGTCAGGTTCAGAGCAGGGAGTCATGGATATTTGCATAAATGCAGCAAAAAGCGACGACAAATCTAAATAAGTTACAAAGGGAAGTAGTGAGGTGGGGGAGGTGGAAAGCGAAGGCATCTACTGAGCTTCCTCTGCCAGTGCCCAGTGCCTTCACCATATGCCTCAGCGGCTGGGGCCCCCGGAGCGAGCGGTGGCCCAGCGAAGCCCGTCTTCACAAGAGGCTGCTCACAGCATCCACGTGCCCCTGCCAGGAGCCTGAAGTCTTTAGGAGCGGAGAGAATGATTAGAAAGTGATTGCTGTAACTCAGGGATGACCCGGAGACTTTGTTTTTCTTTTTTGGCTTGGCTGGGCCTCAAACAAAGTGTAACTGTCCAATTTCCACATCCGATTGACGCAAGCCAAGGTAGGGGGAGGTTGTGAGGAGCGTTTGACCTGTCCAGGTACCAACATCTTAAAATAACGGAGGCCTTATCAGAGGTTATGTTATTTTTGCTTTTTTTTTTTTTTTAAGATTTTTTTCTTTTTTTGATGTGGACCATTTGTTAAAGTCTTTATTGACTTTGTTGCAATATTGCTTCTGTTTTATGTTTTTGGTTTTTTGGCCCCGAGGCATGTGGGACCTTAGCTCCCTGACCAGGGATCGAACCCGCACCCCCTGCATTGGAAGGTGAAGTCTTAACCACTGGACCGCCAGGGAAGTCCCCAGAGGTTGTGTTTTGCAAAAATTATTTCTGAAACAGGGGATTCTGAGTTAAAAATTCCAGGAAGCACAACAGCAGCCATCAAGTGTGGTGAGGAAGAATCCTCCAGTCTGCAGGAATGGGTGACACTTGATACGGTGTCACTGAGGAGACACTTGCAGGTCAGGGCCACACCACCTGCCCCTTGCCCCATGGCCTTTGTCCTGTCTCCGGGGTCAGCGGGCACAGGAGGAATCGGCCTTTCCACTCAGACACCTGCAGGTCACCGTGTTGCCTGGTGGTGCCTCTTCTGTCCCTCCTGCTGCCTGGCCCTGTCACACACCTCTGTCCTCACATAGGAGGAGAAAGATGAAGGGGGTGGGTTTCTGGTTGTGTCCCCTCTTTAAAAATCCTACTAGCTTATTTAGATTAACTGAAACTTCCATCCTTTTGTCGATTGCTTTTTTTTGGTAAATTATACCTAACAAAAATTTACCATATTATTTATTTATTTATTTGTTGGCATATACTTAATTTACATTGTTGTATTAGTTTCAAGTGTACAGCAAATTGACTCAGTTATATCGATACATATACATATATATTTATTTTCAGGTTCTTTTCCATTATAGGTTATTACAAGATAGTGAGTATGGTTCCCTGTGCTACACAGTAGGACCTTCTTTTCCTGTTTTATATATTGTAGTGTGTATATGTTAATCCCAAACTCCTAATTCATGCCCCCCCCCCCTTTTTGGTAACCATAAGTTTGTTTTCTATGTTTGTGAGTCTATTTCTGTTTTGTAAATGAGTTCATTTGTGTCATTTTTTTTTAGATTAAACGTGATCTAAAAAATAAAGTTTACCATTTTAACCCTTAAAAAGGATTAGGGGGTGTACAGCTCCGTGGCATTAAGCACATTCACATTGTTGTGGAGACATCATCACCATCCATCTCCAGAACTTTTTCATCCTCCCAGACTGAAAGTCTGCACCCGCTGAACACTGACATCACCATCCCAAGCCCCTGGCAACCACCATTCTACTTTCTGTCTCTGAATTTGATGACTCGAGGAACCTCATAGAAGTGGAATCATATGGTATTTGTCCTTCTGTGGCTGGCTTATTTCACTTAGCAGAATGTCCTCAGGGTTCATTCATGTAGCATGTGTCAGAATTCCCTTCATTTTTAAAGGCTGTATACTGTTCCATTCCATACATAACTTTTTCTTTATCCATTCACCTGTTGATGGACATTTGGGTTGTTTCTGTCTTTTGGTTATTGTTAATAATGCTGCTGTGAACACGGGCATACAAATATCGCTTTGAAACTTTGCCTTCAATTCTTTTGGGTGGAATTGGTGGATCATATGGTAATTTTATTTGTAGACTTTTGAGGAGCTGCTGTACTATTTTCCTGTTGATTACTTTTTAAATGGGGTTGTATCTGTGTCTATATAGTTCTTGGTCACTTCAAAAGCTCATGGCTGGGCTTCCCTGGTGGCGCAGTGGTTGAGAGTCCACCTGCTGATGCAGGGGACATGGGTTCGTGCCCCGGTCCGGGAAGATCCCACATACCGCGGAGCGGCTGTGCCTGTGAGCCATGGCCGCTGAGCCTGTGTGTCCGGAGCCTGTGCTCCGCAACGGGAGAGGCCACAACAGTGAGAGGCCCGCGTACCACCAAAAAAAAAGCTCACGGTTGCTATTGAGAAATGGT